AAGCAATTATTTTATTTATTGAAACATTAGAATATGATAATAAATTAAAAAATAATATTAAAACAGAATTCCATTCCTATGAAACAATTTATATCATGGAAAAGGGTATTCAGTCCAATATATAATGCGATATAAATCAATTTTTCTTATACAAAACTGATGATGTATGTCCTTCAGTAGTAAAACAAAAAAATATATAGCCAAACTTAAAAATACGGCGATAATGTTTCATTTATATCTAAATCAATAGCTGAAAGACATAAAGGAAAAATATCAATAAAGCGTAACATATGGCGTAAAAGTAATGGCAAGAATGTCAAACTCTGTTAGACCTTATTGCCGACTTCTAAACCAATCAAACTTTTTTGTTGGAAAGAGCAAAGTGTGTATATATTTGATTTAAACGTTTCAAATAATTGTGATATATTTTGTGAACAAGGTGATGAAAAACAAACTGCAGAATAAATTCGAAAATTAAGATATTATTCTCAAGGACCAATCGATATTGTTTATGGTGAATGTTCATGTTTTAAACGAGATATTTTATTAACAGAATTTAATAAAAATGATCCCGAAGAAAATATCATTAGTCAACGAATGTCAAACAATAGTATTTCAAGTGTTATTATCGATGAAGTTGATAGTATGTTATTAGATAAAGCAAATATGGTTTTTTATTTATCACATAATATCGATACATTAAAATCTTTAGAAAGAATATTTATTTCAATTTGGCAAAATTTTAGTTTTTTTCATATTTTTAAATTTTATTCTTGTCGACGTTTCGCACTTTCTAAGCTCATTTTCAAGACAAAAGGATGTACACATGATTTGAAGTTAAAGTGAAAAGAGAGAAAGGATAAAATTCATATTTTTATCTATCTTATCATTGTGCAAATTTTGAATCAAATTTTCTCTTTTACATATTTTTAACTTCGAATGTTATATTCTCATATGGTAGGTCATGGTGAAGACGCTGGTGACCTCCTGCCGATTTAATCCTAATCTATAATATTTCAGCATTCGAAGCAGTTCTTACTAAAGTTATGCCATTTTTAATTTTCCCGTTAGATGGACAAGCGAACAAGGAGATATTTTATTTGTATATGAACCGTCTATAGTCAAGAGAATAAACGTTGATAGCAGTGGCGGC